GAAATCAGTGTGGAGATTCCTCAAAACTAGTATTAGAGGTCCATTCTACCAAGCTATTCCACTTCTGGGTACCTTCCCAGAAGAGTTAAAAATATGATACCACAGAAGTATATGTGCACCTACGTTTATAACAGTACAATTTGCAATAGCTAAATCTTAGAAACAACCCAAATTCTCATCCATCGAGCAATGGATTAAAAAGGTGTAATATTTTTCTACAATCGAGTCCTACTAAGCCAGGAAGAAGGATACATTTGAGATTTAATAAGTAAATGGATGTGACTTGAGACCATACTTATACATGAAATAGGTCAGACTCACAGTGTAAATACTGTATGTCTCCCTAATGTGAGAAACTGAATGATTAAATAAAGTCTAAAAGGAGTAAGAGATATTGTGAAATACGAAGAAATTGTTCAGCAGCAAAAAGCACTAAGATGGAGAAAAGGGGAAAGGATGGAAGGAAAAATATACAATTCAGTTGTATTTTGAGCATCTCAGTTCATTAAAACAGAAGTTTTATATTAATAATGATAGGAGAGTTTTTTTAACTTTAGCTTGTACTCTGAGGAACTACTATAAAGATAACATGCACTCTTGTCATTCTCCTACTATATTGTTATGAAATTTTATTTTACCTTTTTCTCATAAATTTGTAAATAAGTTGTAGAAAAAAGATTGATTTAAACATGAAAATATCTGTTTTGGCCCATGGTTTCAGAGATTTCAGTTCATGGTCACTCAGCCCTGCTCCTGTGGTATGTGGTGAGACAGTACATATATAACTGTAGATGCATGTGGTACAGAAACCCTGTTTACCTCATAGTTGCCAGAGGACAGAAGAAGTGGCCAAGATTCCAAAATTTTGCCTGTAGTGTCTTGACTTCTTTCCACTAGGGAGGCTTCACCACTTTCCAATAGGCACAGGTTGGAATAAACAACCTTCACATGAAAGCCTTTGGGGGTGTTCCAGATCTAAATTATGACATATAGTTAGAGATCACATGAAATTGGCTTTTAAACAATGCTATAAAAACACTGGATTATACTAAAAATAGTGGGAAAGTATTTTCAAAGATTCCGGTTTTCACGATGTTCCCCTGACTTAGGTTCAAGGTACACAGTCTCAAGGAGACCAGTTAGGCTATTGCCATGTCATAAATTGAAAAAAAAAAAAAAAAGTTATTGGAATGTGTTTAAATGGTAACCATGGAGATGATGGGGACAGGTCTGTTTGGAGATGTGTCATGTAAGAACTGACAATGAAAGACAAAGGAAAGAGAGCCCAAGGGGTACTGAAAATTTTAACTTAAGAAACTGGAGGACTGACCAAGCTCTTTACAGAAATGTGGGTGGGATTCACTTGTGAAACAATCCTAGAATTCTCACGTGGTCTTGTGCATGTTAGGTTTGTGTTGACTGATAGATATTCAGAGTTTTTGAGTAAGCCACTGGATAAACAAATGGAGAAGTCATCTGAAGATTAAGTTGAAAATTATTTTTAAAGGTCTGATACTGAATAAAACCACATCGTAAATGTAGTAGAGAATAAAAAGTCTAGGAACTGAATCCTGGGTTTCTCCAATTATGAGAAGCTGGTAACATAAAGATTCTCTTGGGATAATCCGGGGAGTCTGGATAGAAAAGAAGTATGTAATCAGATTAAGAAAACACTGTATAGAAGAGTGATGGATGCTGTGGAGAATAGACAGAATACGAAGTAATCCTGAAGTGTATTTCTCTCAGGGAAGCCCAGGCTGATTATAATGTGACATATATTGATACATATCATGTTTTTAGTACTTTAAGTACAAAGCATTTGAACTTACATCCTGAAATTCAATTATGCCAAACTGTCAATATTGCATTAAATTCTTTAATGTACCGAGGCTTCAATTCTACAAATATTGCAGACTTTGAATTTGAATAATAGAAAACAGAATACAATACATTCTTAAAATTATTTTCAGTTTAAAATTATAATTAGGTAAATTAAGGATGATTTTAATTTTGGTCATGATAAATAGTCCATGTTAGTGCACACAGGTAAAAATAAAGAACTGTATAAAAATATTCAAGTTGATGACCCATCTCTTCCTTTTCCCTTGGTTTAAATTTATTTCTGTTTTATTCATCATCAAGTAAACTTTCAAACACATATTGAAGGAGTCACTTATTAAGGAAGAAAAATTACTTCATAGGTATTTCCTAAAGTGCTGCTTTTATTATCCACCCATTTCATTTCCTTTTTAATGACTTACAGATACAGTAAATGTTTGTTTGCCTGCATACTATAAACAGTGCATTACAAAGCATAAAGTATTTTTAAAAATATTTTACATTAAATTAAAAATCTGCATTAGTCAGCTTGGCCACTACTAGACACAATACTGAACTCCCACACTCACACGCTTACAGTAGGAAAAGTTTACACTGACTTGTGGATTTTTGAGGTTTTGTAATATATTTGACTCAAGGTGGAAATGGTATGATGGAAGGAGCTGAGCAAAGCAAAGCTGCCCAACTTACTGCAACCAGGAAGAAGGGGAGAACCAGGGATAACAACGCACCCTTCCAACTCATGGCCTCAGTGGTCCAGCTTCAAAGAGGCCCCACATCCTAACACCACACGCGGGCATAAATTTACCAATAGATCAGTCCACTTAGGAATATATTATCCACTTACTCATCACCTTCCAAAAGACCTACCGCTGAGTACATGAGGTTTGTAGGGGACATTTTAGTCTATACTGTAGCAACATCCTTTGAATACACGTTGGGGTTAACCAATGTCTCTGAAAATATCACGCTATACTCAGGCCACATAATTGAAATCTCTTATCTCGGGGCTACCCTCCCTATCATAAAGTGGTTTAAGAAGCATCTGTCATGTCTATGAGTTGTTCACCTAACAGTACTTCACAAAGCATGTCATTCTCATGGACATACTTGGGCTGGAGATATAGCTCAGTGGCACAGGCACCTACCTGGCAAGCACCAGGTCATAAATTCAATCCCCAGTACCAAAAATAAACAAATAAAATCTCCTGGGTGTATTTATCCCAACTGGTTTTCATTTTGTTATTTGTGAGCAACTTCATAAAGTTCTGTTAGTTTGTTCTCTAGAATACAAAACATGTTTTTAAAAAGCCACTTGGAAATTAAATGTTACACTACATGTGAGAGTGTATGACATCCATTTCACTTTGGTATCAAAAGCTTTTCATCCTAAAAAAATATTTTTATCATGAGCCAAAAAATGATACAGAGGATAAAAAAGCATGCACATAGAAGTCTTACATACTAGGGAAGAGTAAGTACTAAATAAAAAAAAATTACTCAGTGTCATCATTAATATCATTTTCCTTTTCAAAGAAATTTTATTTTTATGCACAAAGGAAATCCAGAAATGTAGCTAACAAGAAAGGTGTAGCTGAACAGAATCCACCTTATAATAGGATCTCAGTAAATGCTGCCTATTTATTTAAGAAAGAAATGAGAACAATCAATGTAAGTGTGTACATGCAGGTATGTAATTGTGTGTTTGCATGTATTATATAAAGAATGTTTATGATTACTTAACATTCCACTAAATGGTTTCACATGGGCATAGAGAGCATAGTGCAGGAGGGTACAAAGGGAAATGATTGGCACATGCAGCATTTTTCCACAGAACAGTTAGACTCAAACACTGGGCAGAGTGCACTGTCAAAATCCGTTTCCATTCATGTGCAAGTAGTGACAGCACACTCAGTTAAAAATCAGAAGCAAGAGACTTCGGGATTTGATGAAAGCTTGTTGGAAGGGAAAGGAAAAGGTAAGGGTCAGTTTGATTCAGTAACAAGAAAGCATCCAGCATCATCTCTAGGAACATCTCATCCTGGGATTTTAAACAGTTATCACACTAAAATACCAGACATGAAAGCTGTTGGAGCCCTCATGGGACAGAAGCAAAGAATAAGACAATCCAAAGACGAGTGATAGTGAAGTCATTTTCTGACACCTTTGGTCACAAGTGACTGATTTCTTAGAAATTTGAAGCCTTCTGAGAATAGCAGCTTATGATAATTTTTATTAAAGTATTTTCCAAGTTTAAAATAAAATTATTTTATTATTGAATTATATTGTTAGAGAGTAAATACCAAAACTCTGTAGAGTTCTTATAGAGAATTTTGAAATATAGATCACAATTTTTAAAAGAAAACAAAAAAGAAACAATACTACACATATTATGTACATACATTGCTAGTTTTTAACAAAGAATACATCAGTAGAATTTTTAAGGTTGTATTTATTTTAAGTTTGAGGAAACAGTTTATTTTACAGCACTCAAATATTAAATAGTCTAAGAAATTCCAAGTTTTAAATATATATTATAAATATATACAGTAATAAATAAATTGTTAAATGCATTTTCATACCGCAGTGTAAAATACAGAGTATTTCCACACCATTTGTATTTGATTTTATTTTTACATTTCAGTATGCTTGTGTTATAAATACATGACACTCCTATACCATTAAGCTCTTATTGAAAAAAATTATTGCATTGAACTACAGTCTAAGTAATTTATTGAGTAACCAAAAAAGCTGTTTTACATGTGCAATAGTGCAATTTACTTAGCCACAGAATAAGATAAAAAAAATGCTTTGATCATTGGTTGATGTGTCATATTGCCAGACTATCACTCAGTCTAATTATAAATTAAATATTGTAAATAGAATTGAATAAGATAGTAGATTGCTGTCAGTAACTACATAATCAATATACATTATCAGCTATGTATAGTCTCAGATACCGATGGAACTGATAACTTTGCATGGTGAGTAAAAATTTTCTTTCTGAAAGTAATTGTTTCAATATGTGAATATGTTCTGAAAAATGCTTTTAAGAACTCCACTATTCTGAACACAGTACAAGATCTACAACTGAAGACTGAGTAATATATTTATTAAGAACACATACACATACTCACATTCATACATTTTTGACTTTTCCATTTTTCTTGACTTACTTTTTGTTTCTCACACATTATCCTAGCTCTTGTTACTTTGAAAAGGTAGTGGATTGCAAAAAGTGGAAATAACTTTGAGAAAGGAATTTGAAAGTGAAGCCACCCTCCTCTACAAAGCTGTATGGAATGAAAATGCCCTTGTCTTATTCTAACAGTGGCTTATTCTAAACTCTTCCCATTCTGTCGTTGCTTTCTGTCATTGCTTCCATTTTAATACAGTTTAATCCCCCAAAATACTACCACCAGCTTCAAATGTCTACCTAATATAAGAAGTGGATAATATCTTTGCTGAAATGAAATGATAACCTTTGAAAATCCTCTAGACCCAGGCAAGCTCATATTTTAGTAGAAACATTCTCATTTTGATGAAGTGGTTTCAGGCTGAGACAGAAAGGGCTGCCATGTGTTTTCCTGACTACTGAATGTATTGGCTACCCACTTGTTTTTAATACTGTTTCTATTTTCCCGTGAGTGTGTACATTTATCTTCAGGAGCTCATCTGATTTAAAGATGCAACTTAAACCTCTTTACGAGCTCTGCTTCTTCTGCAGTGGATACAAGAACTAGGTCAATTTTGACCCTAAGTATATTAGTTACATACAGTGATGTATGGTATATGATTCCTTTCAATTGTGTTTTTTAGAAAACTCCATCTGATATTCACACATTTCTCTTTAGAATGTTTAGCAGTCCTTCTGAAAACTTGTGAGGATTTTTTTAAGGAAATATTGAGAAATGCATCATGAAATAATGAGCAATGCTATTTCACCAATGTTGAGGGAATTAGTTATCCACCCCTCCTGGAGAAACGTCTGAATGTCCTGTTTACACACACACCTAGAATGCCGGAACATCAGTGATGTTTCCCCTGATAGAGTCACCTGTACATCTCCAATGACCGTTAACATGCTTAAAATACATGATGATTTTGGATCAGCCTCAATGATTATAAAATTCACAAGCTCTGTTGCTGTCATCATTGAGAACTGTGTAAAAAAATGAGAATACAGAAAGCAAAGTGGTAGATCCAGCAACGTGATCCCACGTAATTTGACTAGTTAAATATTCTATTTAGTGAGAAAGATTTACAGGATTAGTTTTTTTAAATATATTTCTATTCAGTGATATCAGAGAGATTTCATTAAGTACAAATGGAAACTAAAGAAAAAGAATCAATGTCAAATTCATTATTTGGAAGTGAAATAGAAATTCAGGGTAATTGTACAAAGTGTACTATGTAAGAAAAATGCCTTGGGGATTAGGAACTTTCTAAATCATTCTTTTTATTCTAACCATGTCCTGTATTTTACTATATTTATAACATTTTATAATATGAACCTGAGGACTTTGGAGCATAATTTTTATGACCCCAGTTACATTTTTATTGCTGATTTTGACATAGAATAAGACATGAACCTTCTTAAATTTTCATTCCTTCATACAAAGAATTTATGTTATTTAAACATTGCTAGATCCAGGGACACTGTCTGCTGTGGACTGGTTTTTAATCTCTAAGAAAAACATTAGGTGAGTGTATGTGTGTGTGTGTGTGTGTGTGTGTGTGTGTGTGTGTGTCTGCTTAAATATGTGCATATTGTACAGACATCATTAAAGTATTTTTAATTGAACAGGTACAGTCTACACTTACTTCCATGAACTAAGTATGAGAATTCTCAAAAAGCAAATATTCCTTTAGGTATCAGGCAAAAGAGACAGGGAAGAAATTTAATGGCCCAAATTAACCATCAAATAACTGGGAGGAAATAATATTGAAACTATAAACCGTTGCAGTGAATTTTTTAAATGAATCTATTTTGGAATTCAATATATATTTAGAATTCTTTGTTTCATGTTTTTCAAGAGTATTTTTCTCTTCTTGCAAATTGAAAATAAAATGCAGTACATGGCCCTTCCTACAATGACTGATTTGGTATAAATACATTTTAAAATCATACTGTTCCTCATATGATGCCCCAACTCATCACTTCTCATTTATACAGTATGTTTTATTTAAATTCTGATATCTGCTTTCCCTCAGTGCAAGACAGAATCTCTAGTGAATGCTTTCATCAATGTTAGTATAAGCTGGAGGATTCCTTTAAGCCATCAATTTCTATCAGTATATATTTGCTGGTCAAAAACAAATATACAGTGGTGAGAAAGTCTCACTTTAAATTTCTGAGAGAGTAAATGGTCACCTAGACTACTGTGAAAATTAACCAGGTAGATTTTCTTTTCCATAATAAGACTTCAAGTGAATTCCCGGTTACTCCATTTTGACTATAGGTCAGCTTAATGATTTCCTTTGGTAAATAGTTGTTCAACATTGTTTTTATCTGCTGGACAATTTTGTAAGTATGTTTATAGTAAATATCTAACTTAATTTTCCTTCCTGGTGAATCTGCCCAATGTCCATTTTGGCTTGTCTGGTCACTTTTATGGAGTTCCACACATAGCATTTCTTGTACTTTAATTTATTTTCCTATTTAAGTGAGCTAGACTTTGTCTCTGCCAAAACTCTCAATCTATATGTTTCTGGGATTATTGTGGAAACTATATTTTTGTTAAGATTTGCAATTCATTTTCATTTTTCTCTCATAAATATCTCCTACATGAAAGATACCTTTTTTATTAAATAAGCATTTTATCTTTCAATTTAATTGTCCTCCTTTGTAATATGGAAAGATAATGTTGATCTCAAAGTGCATTTGTGAACATTAAACAGAATACTGTGATCCATGGGCTTAGACTGACTACACAAAATCCAACCAATCTTCTGTAAATACAGCTATCTTCTCCTGAAGCCAAGGCTGACAAGATGTTCCTCTCGTCTTCTAGAGGCAAACATAGGCAGCATCATCATTTCCTTTTCTGTGTCATCTAATTTTCTTTGAAACCCATGTTTATGGGGAATGTTCAAATGAGTTAATTCTTTCCATTTTAAAGTTATAAAATAATAAGCATAAGTGAATGGCCATTCACAAATGTAACTGTAAAAAATTCAACTTCTGTGGGCCAGAAGACATATTTAAAATCATGTGCAAGATGACATGAATGGTTATCTGGTTCAGTGTCATTTGTTGTGCTTTATGAACATCTGGTACAATAAATAAAACATGCCAGATACTTTATAAACTTTCTTAATAAGCATGTACAAATAGTGATATTTCTAAACATTTTGCCTCTACCCTTATGCATATGTTGGCTGAACACAGTATGGTCTCTGAGTAGAAGAATAAAGAAAACTTAATGCTTTGATCATTGGAATATTTGAAAGATCAATCAGTGCATTCAAGATGTTTTTCTGAGTATATTTTCTTTTATTTGTATTGTCAAATACGATAGCTTGCATATTTTATTATGCAAATTTATACATTCTTAATTTTAGATGTTATTTTTACAATAAGATAATAATGCATAGATTTATATGGAATGAAGTTAACCAGTATTTCATTAAAAAATTATCATCCAAAAGTACATTTCTTGCTATCTCTTGTTTCCAATGAAAACAGAGTGATATACTGCATTGAAAGTTCAGCCAACAACCATAGGAATTATCTTTAATAATGGATTCATTTCATTAACCATTTATTAACATCTGACAAATAAAATCAAATCCACATTAATTCATTCATTCACCAGCACCACACCAAAAACATAGGTTATTCTATTTTTCTTTGTAATGTCGATTATCTGCCTGAATTTTTTTTTATCATTTTTAACACAGTGTGAGAAATCATCCAAAAAAAAATTCGTTAAAGCTTTTCCCTTTACTCCTCCATGAAGTTATTTTACGTTTGCCGATTATTTTCACCAGCTGAAATAAAGTATTTCTGTTTGACTGTTGGTAATTTAGCTCATACTTCTATATTGGTAGCAGTTTGAATTGGAACCAATATTTTAAACCTTATAATACTCAGATACTTTAAATATAGCATTTCATAGGTAGTAACAATTTATTTATCCACAAGAGGATTTTAAACACATATTAGTTCAAGTGGGTTGACGCATTTAAGACCTCTTTAACTCCACTGAACTGTTGCATCTGGCTGGAGTAAGAATGATGGAAAAGATCTTGACTTTGGAACACCGGCTGGATTAAAGGATTCAAGTGAATGATAGAAGTTGTGGCTGGATTTATGTGGGGGCCAAACAGTGTGGGGATAAACGCTGCTGGGGGCAGGGGCTGAAGTGTTATGTGAGATGGGGGGAAAGGGGTCGTGGTGACTACATGCAGGGGATGGCCTGCTAGGGGGATGATGGTTGGGGTCAGAGTTGAAAATGAAACGGGATGGAGATGAGCAATGGGGAGGTGACTGCTGTGGGAACTGATGGTGGCAGACACAGCAAAGTGCTGCAGGAGGGTGTGGTGGATGGCGGTGAAGGAAGCGTGCTGGTGGACCGGAACCGTCTGCATGGCAGAGGCTGGAGAGAAGGCAGTGGGCCCTGTAGTGGGCAACACCCGAAGATGCTTTGACAGGAGCTGTTTCTGCATATGTTGCTGGGCCTGGAGCTGCAGAAGCTTATATTTATCTATTTCATCTGGAGAAAATGTTATGGGTTGTTGAATTAAAGGGGGCGAGAGAGATTTATGACACACTTGTAATTCATCTTCTACTTTGTCATGCTTCTGCACATTTCTGTCACAGTAAGTATTCATATTCCCCTCCGCATGATTCATATGCATGCTTACATCCTGTACATCTAGATTTATTTGATCTTCTTTGGTCTCTGTTGACTCAGTTATGCCAGTATATCTATTAGATGGAAAAGCACCCGAGAAAGCATTTGGTACTGGGTCATGGCTTTCAATACAAGCCTGGACTTCACAACTTAAAGATTTTGATTGTTCTTTTTTTCTTGGGTTCATTTTTTTGTTTGGAGATTGAGACTCTGCAGCTACCTGAATTATGCCTTTTGAAAGACAGTTATCAGATTTGGTGTCTGTTAAAACAGTATAATTATTTGTCCATGAGCTCTCAAGTCTGTCTTTTTTAGCAGGCCTTTGAACTGCACGGCCTTTATCATTTCTTCTCTCACTTGTGTGTTGCTTTTTTTCGGACAGCAGCAACCTCGATCTGTTACACCTTTGTGGTACACCTTGACTCACACACTGGATTTGCATGTGAGCCTCTGAATCACTTTTACAACTGGGTGAAGAGACTTCAACGTTTGTTGATTGTTCCTGACACTTCTTTGCCTGCACTCTTTCTAAAACGATTTTGGCTGTCAAGGGGCTCCTCTCTCCTGACACTGTGGGCTCTGTGGCTCTGGGCAGTTCTGTGGAAGAGGTCCTCAGAAGACAGTCCACAGCCCCTGAGCCACATTGCCTGTGTGCAGATTTTCTCTGCTGACAAGCATGGCAGTTGCCCAAGGATTCTTGATTTTGCTTGCTTTTAATCAAGTAACAAGTCCTTTGTCTTGAATAACAGCCCCATCTGGTGTGCTTAGGTCTCTGGACACCAGGTGATTTTTCATTGTTTCCAGCACAGGAAGCTTGTGAACAGGAATCATGGTGAATAATTCTCATAGATTTTAGTCCTGAAAGTGGTTGATTTTTTCCCAGTTTATGTTGTTCTTGGCAGTGGCAGTATCTGTGTTTTAAGTATTTTTTATTCTTCAATGATTCCCATAGTTTGCAATTTCTGTCACTCTGCATTTCAGACTGCAGGGCATCACTCTTTGTCATCTCATGGGACAAACAGAGACAGGTGTGCTTCCCGTGCTTCCATTTGTGACTTTCCACTGAGCCATCTTCTCTTTTGCAAAAATAGAGCAAATCACCATTCCTGCTACTATTAGACTTCTGACTTGAAAAAGTGTTTCTTGGGCTGGACATGCCACTCAAGGATTTATCCAAAGTGCCAGAATACCCCCTCAGAGGCAATTTGGGAGAACATCTCTTGTAGCTTTTGTCTCCAGATCCAGAAACACTACTAGCCATGCTGATGTTGTTGCTATTCCAAATTACACTGACGTTCTTCCCCTGGTCATTGTGACTCTCCATTACATAAGGACTAGAATTCCAGGTGAACTGTTTCTCCTCTTCAGTCATTGAATGAGGGTCACAGGAAATCAGCTTATGCTTCTTAGTCCTAGAGATGTGGGGAGAAAAGGATAGTCTTTCATTTTCATCATTTAGAAGGACTCCACCACAGCTTTGCCAATGGGGTCTTGAAGGTTCCTTAAATTCTTTATCAGTATCATTCTTTCCAACACAGTCCTTTAGAGACATATCAAGGTAAGCAGGCACTTCAGAATTTTTCAGTTCCAAATTACTTGCACTAAAATCTTGTTCTTTCTTATTGGGCTCTGAATCATTGTAGCCCAAATTACATTTTCTCTGGAAATTTTCCCAATCTGAGTTAGCTATGATCATCTTTGGTTTCAGGAATTTATCTTCTTGGATAAATTTTTGTTGGTCTTTAACTAAACCTGAGACTTGGCTGCCTATTTTTGTCTTCATTTCCAAGGCTTCTTTGCCTAGATCTGTTTCTAAATCATCTAGATTATGGAGATCCTTTGTGTGCCGAGAAAGCTTAAAATCAAAGTACAATGGATTGCACCCATAAGAGATACAGGGCTCTGTTTTTGTGAAGAGCAAAAGTTCAGTAGGCCACTGAAGAGTAGTGTGGCCATCCTTGCTTTGTACATGGAGAAAAGACAATGGCTTGGCTGTCACGTTGTGGGAACACCCTTCTAGAACTCTTTGATTATTTGTGCTAATTTTTTCACTTTCATTTAAAGACTTTCTTCCATTCTCCACACTGGAATTGCCGTTCAAATGCACTGTATTCTTTTGTTTACTCAGCTCTGGTAACAAAAAGTCATCCAGACATTCAAATATCCTGGCATCAGTGTGCTTGTAAATGTTTTCTGGGCTGAAAGAAATACTCTCTTGGCAAGGGTGATTGATGCAATTTTCTGAAGTGTTTTTCAATGTCTGTTTCTCTCTGTTGGAAGGAATAAAATCTTCATCTGGGAGATGAATGTTAGATTTAGAGAAAGAAGCCTGAATACCAATGGAATCTGCTAGTGTCTCATCAATAGAGTCATTGTTGTCTTTTAAAATCTTAGAACTCCTGGCAAAAGTCTTGTGTAAAACACTCTCCAGAGAGCTTGGTGAGATGCTTCTGTCTTCTTCCTTGGTGAGGTGCATATCCTCCTTTGCATACCTGCAATACTCACATTTCTCCATGGTTTGTTTTGTTTTATAAGTGGGTGATATGTTACAATCATGGGTTTCTTCTGTGTTCTCCCTGAAAACAGGGGCTGAAGATTCTAGCTTTAGATGCATTTTTTTGGAAAATGAAAATGATATGCTAGTCCTGTGATTTGCATTGCTGAGATTTGAAGGTGCATGTGGTATCCGATTGCCAAACAAGCAACGTCTGTCTGATGGTAACAGGTGTCGGTTGGTCATGGTAAAACGCGGTTTATCAGAGGAGCTTCTGGAGATATTCTTCCCCTTGAGGAGAAGAGCACTCTTCATGCAGGATACCTTTCTGCCGCTCTTAACTGGGAAAATTCCCTGCTGGACTTGCTTTTCTATGGCTATCCTGGGGGCTTTGAATGCTGGTCCATTCCCAGAAACACTGTAAATATAATCAATATTTAAATGATTAGCATTCAATTTTGAACTCTATCCACATGTGATCATTTCATATTTTTCTATGATAAGTTACTTTAGCATTTATGAAGTAATTACATCATCTGTAATGCAATTATTTTGTCATGCTTATACACGTCACTATAATTTTATTGTGACTATTTCCAAAATGTACTGTTAAGTGTATTATTTAGAAATTAGCAAAAAATAAAAGCAAGTCCAATATCTTATGCTAGTTCTGATAAAATTATATGCATACAGTATTCATCCTCCAGAACCTATCTACTCTTGAATACAGCTTTAAACTATTTCATACTTTTCCAATCAATGCATTCACATTAAATAGGAAATTAAACAAAATTTACTTTCAAAGTACAAAAGTATTCTTCAACTGGCTTTGATGTATAAATTATAGGGTTTTCTAATTCTTGTTTTTCAATTTTTAATTCTCTCATGTTTACTTCCATTTGAACAAAGTAGTAAGTTTCTTTACTATGTCTAGTTACTAGTTTGACTAATTATAGTAAGTGCCTAAGAAAGTAAAACCCATTTGCTAGCCTTCTCATTACAATGATTTTGAAATTTTCTCTTGATACTTCCAAAAATCCTATTCTACCTTTTGCACATGCACCCTATGTTTTTAAAGGTCTTGAAAGAGTATTAATTCAATTTTGCTTCATTGGTATTGAAAAATTAAAACGCTAACACTGTACATATGAGTTGACACATTAGCTAAAAGTAATTTGTCCTTATAAATTTTTCCTATAAATCTTCAATTACAAAACATGTATTCACTGGGATGAAGCAATAAATCATATTCTATATATAATTATTTGCTTTTATTTCTTTTGTCTTTAACCATTTGCTGGGAAACACATTTACTTTATTTCTATTTTAGATTTTTATTTAATTTTAAATCAGTCATTTGTTTCTTGAATATAAAGTATTAAAACAATATACTGTATGACTTGACTATATATAACTTAAATTCTAAAGAAGAGAAGAGCCTTCTGAGACCTTTCTAGGAAATTTTTGTTGGTTTTACGTATGATTACTTGGTCAATTAGTATAGAAGTCTGTAGTAGCATTTAGTTTGTCTGTGTAATACACTTTGATGCATTGTCTTAATTTTGAAACATTTCAGGCATTTATAATTAGCCTACTTTTATGTATTTTTGAAATCAAACTAGTAGTGTAATTTTCCTTTTTTAATTTACATGAAATCAATATACAATACTTCATGTATAAATATTATGTTTTTCCTGTATGTTATTTATTTTGTATTTACCAGAACACAGAAGATAGCTACAGGTAGATTTGTTTTGATTGATATTTAGCATTATTTGGGGGCACTTTCAATTTAACTTTCTTCAGCTAAGGTACCTTTTCTTTTCTGATATATCTGATTATTGCTTCCTCTTTGCCCTTGTTTCTCATAACAGGCTATGTATGCTAAAAATATTGGCTTTCTATTTCTTTCAGGTCTTACTATTTATTTTAGAACTTTACTGTCTTTATTCTTTTGCTATATTTTAGGGAGAATTTCTTGTATTTGATTCAATTATGTTCTTTTCATGTTTTGCAATATTGCAAAATGTGGTTTGTTACGTCCATATGGAGTTCGATTTACAAACAGTTATTTTAGTCATCCTTTAGTTTTCAGTGATTTCATATATCTCTTTATATGGATTAATGGCTATAACTATACAGTTATAGTATTTCTATAAATTTTGTGGAAAACTAAATTCAGAAATTGTCTAGAACCAGGTGTGGTGATGCATGCCTATAATCCCTGTACTTGGGAAGGTGAGACAGAAGGATGGTTGCAAGTCTGAGATCAGCCTGGGCTAGAAAGTAAGCTCAAGGCTAGCCTGAATTACAGAGGGAGACCTTACCTCAAAAAAATTGCCTAAAACTGTATTCTGTTCTGTCTAGTAGTTGTTTCATAATCGAATGACCTTGTTTCTCACCATAATTTCCTTTTCTTACATGAGACATAGGTAGAAATATTTTACAGCAGTGTGTGGGCTACTCAATTTTTTTCAAGCATAAAGAGAAATAAGGAACATAGAGATTTAGTGTACTGTAATTGGAAATTGGCGATTTTAGAGTGTCTGCAGCCTGAAGATGGAAGAGTGAAATTCAGAAATAGCTACAAACCTCAGCTTTGCCTTTTTTCTTAAGAGATTAGTTCCCATTTATAGCCTCACCTTGGATTAAGACCTGTATCTCTAAAATATCTGTTTTACAAAACTCAATCAATTTGTTCTATCGGGATTTATACTCAGAAATTATTGTAAGCATCTAATGAACAGATACTATTGTTTTTCTCTTCCAGGTTTCTTCATGATACAGAACATTTTTCCTTTGTAATATTTTTGCTAATTTTCCCAGCACTGTTTTCTGCATGTTCTCCTGTGATTTATGTTGTCTTATGCATTGCTGTGTTATTTTACTGTTTATTTCTCTAATGTGAAACCTTCACTTCTCATTTTTAAAACATTTTAAACGTCTCTGCACTTATTACTTTTGCATTATATTTTGTTCTTAGCTTCTATTTCTTAGCTCTTGTTCTTCTTTTTCAATCTACTTGGCATTTATGATTATAGATTTTCAGATGTTTTAGCATTTTATTCTCACTGTAACTCTTTAATATTCTTGTTTTTATTTTTTAAACTTTTGACTTTGCTGTTATATACGTTTCAATTTCCGTTACCTCAAATCTAATTTTCTTTATTGTTTTAAAAATTCCTAATATTTTATCCTCATGGTGTTTAAATTCTATTATTTCAATATGTTTATGCATTATAACATTATTAAAGATTTAATTTTTCTAGCTTTATTGTGGTATAACTTACAAATAAAAGATGCATTCATTCTTAGTGTAAGCTATGATGTTTTGATGTAATTATTGCTATGATAAAGTTAATTGATACATTTACCAGTGAGTATTTGGGTCTGGAGAAAGATTATGGGCATTAATATCTATTATTATCTTAGAAAATTTCAAGAAAACAATAGAGCATTGTTAATCATAGTTACCAGCTTTCACATTATAACCCAAAACTATATTTGAAAATTTGTATGCATTAGCCAACATCTGCACATTCTGTATCATGAAGAAACCTGGAAGAGAAAAGCAATAGTATCTGTTCATTAGATGCTTGCAGTAATTTCTGCTGAATATAAGTCCTCATAGTAACAAATTAATTGAGGTTCGTGAAACACTATTTTCTAGCTCCATTCCACTCTAACCTAAATAGAAATTTTGTTCCCAGCTTTCTACTATCATTTGTTCATTTGTCTAATTCAAATAGCCTTACTATTAGTAAATTCACTTGTGCTTTCCACAGGGTATGGCAGAATCTTGTTATCTACCTTACACTCTCAGAACACCTGACTGTGAGGACAAACAACAAAGAAATGCTGTCCAGGTGAGAGTAATCAATGTTGATATTTCCCTTTTTTGTTTCATTTGTAACTTTCCTTTCTGAGTTCATCTGCCAAAACATTTTTAATAATTTTATTATGTAACTTTCCTTACTTATGGAATTGTTTATGCAGATACACCTGTTGGCTAAATGATGCGTGATAAGTATTATGCAAGAAAAAATAATCATCCTTCCTTTGTGTTCTGCATCTAAAAGCTTCAACATTTGTCTTTTTCCTGACAGTATAGATACGTCACAACCGATAGAGCCTGGCTTCTTTGCAAACTCAGATGTGCTAGGTTTGCTTTGCTTAGCCAATGAAGTTTCCTGAGGGACACCTGACACTGAAGAGAATGACTCGTATAATACGGAGGACCTCAGTGGGTAGCTCCGGCAAATTTAGAAACGAAAGTAAAAAACATCATTGCCATGAATACCACCATTCACACTCGCCACCACCCTGTCACCAAGATTCCTGTGGTCCTCTGTGACATTGCCCATAATGAAATAGAGAAGAGGTGAGTAGAAATATAGAAACAAACACAGTGACTTTCGTCACAACAAAACATCCTAACTTATGTTTGTTAAGGCTGTCTAGGAACCAGGCAACTCTGTCTTGGCCTAAGAGAACTACTTTAAGGATATTTTCTGTGCGAGGGATCACCACATTTATTACAGTCTGATTTACTGTATCTCTTAAGTGACCGTGCAGGAATTGATACCTTTCCTGTATTTTTCCCTCTATCCTGTCCTAACAAACATATGACTTGCTCTTCAAAGTCCTTTTTTTTTTTTTTTTAATGATGACTGGCCTATACTTTAGTGAGAAATGTTTGACATTGTATTGGCTGATACAAAACTCAGCACCAAATGTGTTTCCCTCTTTAATTTTATGTGAGGTCAAAGACTGATTCTTGTGTTAACTAGATCTCTGGGTACATACTACACTTATTTCCTTTAAACTAAACTTCTATTTCATTTTAATATGACTATCATGTATTTTTATAAGTTAATTACATTATTCTGAGTTATATTTATATGAATATATGCAAACTGATACTATGTTCACTTATTATTAATACTAAAAACAAAATATTTCCCTAGAATCTCATTTGAAGTCTAATATTGTGTAGTAATATAATTAAGCCATTCATTCTGTTACTGTACATTGTTTTCCATTTAACCACAGGGGTTTAAATTCTGGAACAGAGCTATAAATTTCACAGTTCACAATGTTGTTGTCAGCTACATTAATTAGCTATGTTAGTGTTATACATTATGATTCATATGAACACAAATCACAATCTGCAAATTTAATTGCTTTCCAGGTAACAATTTTGAAACACTGAGTGGTTACAAGCTTTTGCAAAACTGCTACTTTTCAGCTACAAGAATGTATTAGTGTAATGCTTGTTATATTATAATTATCAATTTAAATGGCACTGTGTGGGAAATTTAACTGCATTAATTACATCTTGTTTGCCAGACGATGGTGTCATTTATTCTCAATTCAAAAGTACACACAGGAGAATGTGTGAAGACATATTTCCCTCTAAAATGCTTGTTAGTTATGGCTTTTTAAATTATTATTGCAAAATTGAAATTACTGAGAAACTATGTCAGTTCATTTAAGTAAGCTGGATAAATACATACTAGTATATTATGATCATTCTTGGATATTTCATTAAAGAGTACACTGAAATAACAGTAGTATGAAGGAAAAATCAGTGACAAAAGCAATTAATTTATAAACCTTGAACTATTAGAAATAGTTGCCCGCAGATATGTATGTTGTTTAATTACAATTTTACATTGCTCTATTAAATTGAAATTTATCATTTTATCATGGAAATCTCCTTGGAAACTGAAGAGACTCCTGAACCATCTAAATGAACCACTAATTCTTACCACTCAGATTGCTGTCTTAACTCAGCCAGCTGATGGAGTCGCTTAAGCGCTTTTTCTTGTTTCTTCTCATCTTTCCATGACTTGGAAGCTACATTTCGAGCAAACTCTCGCTGCTTCAATTCCTTCAGTCTCTGCAGAAAAGAACAGAAGGGATACCATGCATAAGTGATATATTCCTTTCCATCCACAAGTTTCCTGACTGAACCTGGTCCTGAGTGCAAAGGTGACTTGATACTGCTTTCTGCTCTAAGATAATACAGTAGAGAAATGTAGTTGTCAAGCAGGTTATTTTTCAAGTTTTCCACCATCTCTGCAGAAATGTTGTAGGAACTAGATCCCAGCCCTGCTAGCAGTACCCTAACTACACAACTGCTGACATCTGCGCGCCTGTAAAAAACAGGGTAATACACAGTGTACAAAGGGGTGTGAAGGGATGGAGGTTCAGGAAGGCATTTTACTCCACCCACTTCCCTAGCTCTCACAAGTAACCAACATGCTTATTAAATACAATGGTAAACTCAGCTGCCTTCAGTAAATTATTTTTGTTACTATGAAATATATAGCTCAAATGTCTAAATGCAATTTTTGATTCATTTTTCAGGCACAGACATATATATCAAATTCAAACTTCTGTATTGATTTAGGGAAGGGAAAATGGGTTAGACATTTAAACTTGCAATGTAGGCTTGACCTTTGTTTAAACTAACATACCATTTCTTTTCATCTTGTCGTTGAATCAGGTAACTTATGTGTGACAGGATGCTGCTCATTATCTGCTTGGATTTCTACTGTAAAGCTGCCTCTCAGCACACTTCATGATGTTGAAAGGATGGAGAAACAGTCACAATCAAAGATCTTGTTCAGCTTCAGGAATTCACCCTAAACTGGGAGTGTGCTTGGAGATTAGCCTCTCTTAACTCATAAAAAGTGATTTTAAACAGCCTCGAATCTGAGTTTGCTTACATTATTTTCACCTTGCAAATCAAGCGTAAAGAAGCTTTTCCAGATAAGGAAAAACTACAGAGCTATCAGAAAATAGTAGACTGTTGGTCACCAGCAGAGTCACAGCCAAAACCTTTCATGATCACTAGCTTCGGGCTTGAAAAGAAAGATTCTCGTGGGAGATGGTGGCCAGGCAATGCCATGAGCTAGAATCAGCCACAGGGGAGTCACATGTATTCAGTCTTCTAGATCATTCTAGGTAATAGAAATTTTTAAGAAATAAAATTATGGTCATAGTTTAGCAGGTAAAATGGTCAATAGTTTTCAATAGCAGATACACAGTAGAGGCTGAATATTAAAAGATAGATGCTTTCATAGGAGACAAGACAAAAAAACCATTTCAGCAGGTAAACCCTCCCATTTACATCTTCTGAGATTCTGAATGCTTAACAATCCATTTCTTTTACATATTTTTTCTAACATTTTACAATATATGTTTTCAGTACTTAATGATTATATTCATTGTAAGGAACTGATACATGTACATAGCATATCTCAATTCTTTTTCCTCCACCTTTCTTTTTTTGACAGCATCAGATTCATTTATCTTATGTCTTTATAAAGTTAATTATCATGCATACAGATGACAAGACTAATGAACCAAAATACTTACAAAGCATATATCAATTATAGTAAATTAAGTACATTTTTACATACATTGTCCATGCTGCATTACAGTAACTTTTTATCTCTTTTTTCCTATTATCTTTTATATTGTACTTTATTTATACATTGAGTTTCTCATGTAAAAGAAACCATTAAATATTTATGCTTATGTATCTGGTTTATTTCACTTAACGTTATGGTATCAAAGTGCCTCTATTTTCTACAAAGATGAAAATTTATCTTCTTAAAAGTAGGGTATTACTGCACTGTGTATAAATAAAACACTTTCTTTTTCCATTCTCTTGTTGATGGACATACAGGCTGTTTGCAAGATTTAGCTACTGTGAATTGTGCTGCTGTAAAATCAGTGTGCATGCCATAGCTGTAATATATGTCTTTAATTCTTTTGAGAAGATACTTAGAAGGGGGAACTTCTGGGTTGAATGGAATTTCTGGTTTTGGTTTTTTCATGAACTTCCATACTGATTTCCATAGTGGTTATATCAGTTTAGAGTTATACCAACAATGAAGGCGGCTTGCTTTTTCCCCACAGCCTCTCCAGCATTGTTCAATTTCTTGATGATAGCTATTCATTCTAGAGTGAAATGACATCTTACTGATATTTTAATTTGCATTTCTTGAATAGTCAGCAACGTTCAACATTTTTGTAATATTTATCAGCCATTTCTATATCCTTTTCAATTGATTTCAGATGCTCATTTTTTAATTGGGTCTTTAAATTTTGGAGATCTGTGTATTTTGAGTTCTTTACATATTCTAGATATTAGTTCTTTGAACATTAGACGATGAATGTTTTTCCTATTGTGTATTTTCTTCACTTGGTGGTTTCATTTACTGTGCAGAAGCTGTTCAACGTGACCCCATTTGTTGGTTTTTGGTATTATTTCTTGTGCATCAGGGATCTATTTAGAAAATCTCTGCCTATACTTATGTCTTCAAGAGTTTTACTTATTTTTTCTTAAAATTGATAAAGTGTTTCTGTTGTAATATTTATATCTTTTATAATTATTTTTAATGTAGTACATGTTGAGAGATATGAATTTAGATTCATTCTTCAGTTCATGGATAATTGGCTTTCCTGGCACTGTTTGATAAAGAAGCTAGCCTTCCCCCAGTAAAAGTATTTCGTCCCTTGTAGAGGATGTGGTACTCAGTATGGTACTTTTAAAATAGTATTTTATTTTATGTTTTGTCTTCTATGAAAGTGTCTATCTTTTACAGGTACTGAACCTTGTAAAGGTTCAGTGCAGTCAGAATTGTTTCTGAATTCTCTGTTTCATTGATCCATACAACTGCTGTTTCTGTTTCTGTTTGTTTGTTTTGCTAATATTATACTGTTTCTATGAATGTGGCTTTGTTGTGTGACTTAGGGGCTGGAATTACCGATGCCCTCTGTCTTGTCCTTGTTGCCCAGAATTGCTTTTGATATTCTAGGCTCATTTGATTTCATATAAATTTCTCTCATGCTAAATGAAAGCTATTGGTGTCTTGTTTGCAATTGCCACGAATTTATATAACACTTTAGGAAATATGGTAATTTTAACTATGATTGTTCTACTTACCCAGGAACAGGGATATCTTTCCATTTTCTGAAATCCTCTCTGATCTCTATTTCAGAGTACACTAATTTTCACTATGGAGGTCTTTCCATTCCTTGATTAGGTTAATTCCTAAATATTTTATTTTTCTTGATGTTTTTGTGAAAGGGGTTTCTTCCCTGGTTTACTTTCTCAGTGAGTTTCTATTGGTACACAGGAATATTCTTGATTTTTGAAGTTCATTTTGTAGTCTGCTATGCTACTGAGTTTAGTTTTTAGAATGTGACAATACAAAGAATACATGAAATACATTTAATTCAAAAAGAAACGGTACAAAAATTAAAGGGAAGAGTAGACAATAATATTATAAGCAATAGGAACCTAGAGAAAAGCAAGAACTGCTGTCCTGATTTCAGAAAAAGTGATTTCAAGCCAAGACTGATTAAAAAAAAAAATAAAGCCACCACATATTCAGTAAGGCAGTTGTGGTGAAACTATGGGATATATACCACAGCAGGCTATTTGTGTCTTTGAAAGCTCTAAGAGGTTCATCATCTCTGGGTTAAGCAACAAATGCAACAGAAAGATTTAAAAATTATAAATATATATGCACGAAGTACTAGTCTACAAACTTCATAAAACAAACACTAATGGGTATGAAAAATAATAGTAATAGAGGACCTCAGTGCCCCACTGAAATGACAGACACATCCACCAGACAAAAACATCAGCAAATATATATCAAAAAGGACCTCCAAGCAAATGGAGTTAAGAGATATGTACAGAGTGTTTCATCCAACAACAGAGTACACATTCTTCTTGGCAGCAAATGGGACTTTGAAAAATAGATCACATACCAGTCCACAATGCATGCTTAAGTAAATGCAAAGAATCAAAATTATTTCATGCATATTATTGGGTCACAGTGCAATAAAAATAGAAACAATAGCAAAAGATACAACAGAAATTCTTCAAACATAGAAATTAATAATACTTTTTTGGTAATCAGTAGGTCACAAATTAAAGAAGTTAGAAAGTGTCTATAATCAAGCAATAATGCTAGCACAATATAATGAAACTATAGGATACAATGAAAATAGTCCTAAAAGGACTATTTATAGCAGTGAATTTCCATATCAGAAAAACAGAGCAAATTCAAATAACCTAATTATGCATGTTTGGGCTCTAGGAAAAAAAGAACAATCCAAACCCAAAACTAATATGAGGGAAAAATTACAAACAAGGAGAAAAAATAAATGCAATTTATACTTTAAAAAAAAAAAAAAAAACAAAGGCTCCTTGAATCAAAGAGTTGGTTCTTTGGAAAATTAAATGAAAGCTGAGCTTGTATCTTGTCCGTGTTAGTCATTAGCTTTGAAACTTGGGAAAGTTATTCAATTATCTGCAAGTTTAGTTTACACATCTGTAACATGCCAAAAAAAATCAATATTTACTTAGTGCCCTAAGTTTTTAGATATTCATATTTGAGTTGGAAAAGAAAAGTTACTTAGCAAGATCCTTACACAATGCAAATGCTCAGTAAGTGTGGAGTGTAATTACTTAGAGATACAAGGAACACCGGGTTCTTTGGGAAGCATGATGGGCAGGATTCAAGTGGCAATCTGGGGTCTGGGTAAGTGTATTTTTTCTAAAGGAGAAGTCAGATAAAGGAAACGTGCTGTTAATCACCTTGCCAAATTTTAGATTTGAGCCTATGAATTTAAGGTTTTCTATTGGTCATATATATTCATGCATATATAAATAGATCTTCCTTATATTAAATAATTTACATATATATCTGATGGAAGCATTTGCAATTTCTCCAAATGTAAAGTCATATGTTAGTACTCAATGAAATTATAAACTTTAGATTAAAATACAATTTGCTTTCTGATTTTCCTTTGACACATTTTACTCAAATTATGCCGCTAGTTATTAATATTATTCAGAATGAATTTTTCCTT